TCTTTTCTTTCCCCTTGTACACGCCATATAATTGCTTTATACTGTGTAGAATGGATAAGGTGTTCCTCTTCCATGTCTGACGTCGATAATAAATTTCTACCGTCATCAATGAAAACTAACCTCAGTGAGACAAAAATGAATTGAAAGTTAACCGGGAAAATGGAAACCTTCTGTATGCAATAACATAGCACTTTCAAGGTACTAGAAAGCACGAGCTTGATGACGAACGTTGCAACATCGCTCATCGGTTCACAGTGTTCTTATCATTTGTGTGATCCGTCCGGTGCGGCTGATATTGGATGGCGTTAGCAGTACGCAGGCACACTGTACCACCGCATCAGCGCCACGCAACAACCACCAGTCGCATACGGGATAACATTATTGTTAAGTAGCTTACATCTACGCAGATTCGAACCTGTGACCTCTGGGTTAGAACAAGACAAAAGCCGCACCGCCTTGACAACCGTTTGATGAATAGTGACACTTTTCATGCTGGCTCGATACCGTGGCTTCGATCCGTCAACTTGAGGATTGATCTAGGCACCTCAAGCGTACGTAGACGAGAGGAGTTTAAACAGGAAATCGGGTTACGTACGGGTAGCGTAACGATACTCATGGAGTTAACAAGTGTTCATCGAACATACAAAACACCCTATTCACAGCGAATGCAAAATTATCGTTTTGATTGTTGTTCGACGCCTCCAGTGATTACATGTGCAGCAAGTTCCCTTCATCCCAATGAAGCTCTTTCGTGATGGAAAATACTTCAAATGGGGTGCGCCTTATGTCCACCCCGCTCCATCACTGTGGCAACTACTCGTTTGCCTTTCATTCCTAGGTACCATGGTGCTGGACCGATGGTGGTTGACTTCACTCAATCCTGTGTTCCATGAAGTAACCGCAGTTATGGCTGCTTTAATTCCGTTCGGCGTCAAACTGGCCAGTAAACGCTTTCACACTGGTTTGCATCAACAAGTCGAATGTGTTGTATCCATAAGCTCTGTGCTCATGCCCTGCCTATCGTTAAATTTCATAAACGATCTAGCGAGGTCAATAAGTTCCGCTTTCCTATTCTTCGCAGACGATCTAAAAATATGGCGAGCGATCAGAGGACCGAACGACCACAAAGGGCTGCAGTGCGATCTTAAGACGATTTCAAATTGCTCAGTTCAGAATACCCTACCATTCAGTGTGGATAAATACCCATTTGTTTACTTACGCCATAGGCATGCCTAGTGAGGCGTGCCTCGAACCTTTTGAGAATAAATCCATTTAAGTATTTATTTATTTTTTCCATTCCTGGGGTTGGGGCACACGGCTTACAAACCTTGGTGTGCTCGTACACAGTGACCTCAATTATTTAGAACTGGTTGAAGCAGCTGCGAAAAGAGGTTCTCAGCATGTAGACCTACTGCAGAGGGCATTCGGGAGGTGGGACACACGATGCACAAATCTTACTTACGTCCTCAAGTTAAATACGCTATCCAAGCTTGGCAACCTTAGTTGAAACTTAAGATACCATACCATACTTAAGATACCATAACGCAGGGTAGCACAGAATGTCTAGGGTCTTCGCAATTACTTTTACAAGTAAATCTTGAAGTTACACGGAGTTTTCAGCGGACGCTGCCGTAGGTTACTTCGTGATCTCATATTAGTGTGCCAAATATTGTATGACCCCACGTAACCCGCCATTTTCTGAAACCTAACCACAACACCAAGCTCAAGGGTAACTGTCTGGAACTGATTGAAAAGTACAGTCGTCTAGAATGCCGACGGGATTAATTTTCTCTTCGGATTTGCTATCCTAGAAATTCACAAAACCAGTTAATTCCTCTCTAATTTTGGATATTTTCTGAAAACGATTGGACGTCCCTGTTGGCTCCAATCACTTGGTTACATAGACTGTTTTACTGTGAAGTATCTTTGTAATTTACTCCTGGAAAGAAGAATGAACCCAAACAGTTGCTCACCAGCCCTCTCCGTTAATAAGCGGCAAACAGACTAGCGCATGTGTTCACGTGCATTTTTCCGCTTTTACAATCCACACTCCGTTCATTCTACGGGACTTGCCAAGCAATCGCCTTTTGCTTACTACAAATCATTGTTCATTAATTGTTCGTTTTTCATACTGGGGTTCTGTATTACATGGACTCGAAGAGGCAGTGCATAAGGGAGTAGTTCTATTTTATCTCAGAATACACCAATTCTAACTGCTCCTTTATTGTTTCGTTTGCTTACACCCAATTCTCCTTACACACTATCGTTATGAAGCAGCGTATTTAGATCGGTGAACACTTATACTAATGCTTTACTTACCTTTTTGTTTTATACTTCTCACCGCAACTAACTCACAGGACTTGTCAAGTACCTGCTTTGTTATCTGTTATACACCACTGTCCATGGTTCATCTATTTCGTAAGCGCTGGGCTACCTGAAGCACCGGGAACTGTTAAGCTGGCCAGTGTACTGACGCCGACTAGCGGCTCTGCGAGCTTGATTTACAATGGTTATCCAACACGATTAGTCGTGTCAGCTTTTCTTATTTCTGCTGACGGTATTAGGATATGGTGACGGTGACCCGAGCATCAGTATCCCGGCACGATTTTCATGCGACTTCTAATTGGCTAGCTTAGCATAAACCACTACTCAATTTAGACAAAAACCGATCCGGTCAGACACGCCACCAACAAACCTGTATTTCGAAACAGGAAATTCCCATTATTATTTCAGACAGAAAAAGCCGCAAACGTTAACTGTGAGATGACTCAGCCATTTCGTGCAAAGTCGTCAATCACAAATAATGTACACGTCATAGATATACAAAACGCATCATACGTGATCAATATCTAGCCAATCGTTGGCCAATGGTCGCGCCTCGCGCTACCTCGGTAAAGTAAGATTCGCAGCCAGCTGTTTCTGCACATACAGCAGTTGGCGCTCTCGCTAGGTGACGATGACTTCCAATAGCCTGAGAATGTGGGGCCGTTGATTGCGCATCAGGACGGTGGATGGCTCATCAAGATTGAGTCGGTGACCGGTGCTCGTAGATACCGAAACGGCTCAATTTCCCAATTGACCCGACTCCGTCGTCACCGATACTCTCCGGCTGCGTGAACGCTTGATCCTGACACCTAAACTTCGGTCATTGGGCCCGAGATAGCAACCTCCGCAGTTACAGCGGAATTTGTGTAAGAAATGGGACATCCACTGCCTCGTTATCGGTGTCTTGATAGAAAACGTAAGCAGAGGTCATGTTGACGTGAGCAACCATAGTTCAGTTGCATTGCACACCCTTTTCACGGAAGCACTTGTATTGCTAATTCTGGAGAACATATTTGTTCGTCCATTTCACAGAAGAGCGACTTCCGTGTACTGGTACAGGACAATCTCAGCTGAGCAAGGCAATCTGGGTTGACTTCGAATAGAGAAACGAGCCCATCGGCCGCTTGTGGCCAGCTATCAAGAGTTATGTCTCAACCTAACAATTCCCTGGAGTGCACTCACGTGGGATATGCTGTACCATTTGTGCAACTTTACAGAACTTCGGCCATGTTGCATTTGTCAACCGGTGCACCAGTAGCATTGCTTGTCCAAAGTCTGTGCCAGTATCTGAAGATACTCATAGTGGTTCGGGGTTAACTTTCGATGGCTTGTCGGACGTTCATTAGTTCTCATCGGCGGTGAAACTCAGACATGAGGTCAGTGTAGCATTAAACTACCTGAATGTGCGCTAGCATCGCAGTCGTATACCTACCGGGTCTACGTACTTCCGACTTCCTATTCGCAGACCATGAAATTTCCTCAAACCCAATTGTTTCTTTTCTAACATTAAAGTGCGTCGAAAAGCGGTTGAACGATATGTACATCTCCAGCTGTTTGGTGGGTAAATTGCAGCACGCTAAACTATATCTTGGTGCCTTTTCTACGGGAAATGTTTGACTACGTGGGTGTGTGTAAAGCATTACCAATACGCACGTGTCTTCTTTTTAAACCCGGTGGGCTTACATAATAGTGCATCTGATTGCGTCTTGTATTGTTCGATTCAATTCCCCTATCCTCTGAACTATCGAGGCATACCATGCATGAGTTTTCTTAACCGCGGCACTTTGCCATCTTATTTGCTTTAATCGGTAGAGAGTCTGACACTTCGCATTCGTAATTCTTATGCCGGTCATCACAAAGGACTTTGCACACGTTACATCGTTTCTGCCAATAAACTCTTGTCCCGATGTTCAATTAGTTCACTCTTGCTACTCACAACCAATACAGATTGCAAGCCCTAGATTTGTGCATCAGCGAATGCCGTCGCCTACGAGGACACTTTAGTATGGTATACCAAATACTGACGAACCCCATCACGCTTGTCGTGATCTGTTGCAAGTCAGCCACAATACCAACCTGAGGGTTTACTAGGTCAAACTGATCACACACCACAGTCGACTTGGTTGCCGACAAAACTTTTTCTCTCTTCGGGTATCCAGAACTTGGAAGGCTTTTCCTTATTTTCGCCCCACATTAACGCTTTTTAAAACCGATTGGACTACGCTCTATCCGATTTACATTAGTTGACATAGTTTGCTTGCATCAAAAGACGAATTACCAGTGTGCACTCCAACCCGGCCTGTTAAGTAGCGGTGTGCTGACTAGCATTGCTCATGTGAATAACTCGGTGAGTCACCTTAAGCCAGAATTTTCCCTTTCTCCTGTCGTTTTAAACAATTGTTCTATGATCACCACTCCAGTCATCCTACGGGACCTGTCAAACAGTGCATTTCTGCTCGTTATAAATCGTTGTTCATTGTTCAAATGCACCGCTTTTCTCAGCAGTTGGACTCCCAACCTGAGACTTTCGATGTAATCTCAGAGACACTTTTCAATCCTTGCGGAAACACCTATATTTGGCAACCAATAATCATCGTTTCGTGCCGCTGTGTTGATTAAGATTTGTCATCATAGTTTTTTTAATGCAATTGCATTTCCTGTTTTGACGGCTACAGGTGAAGATGAAGCGGGTACTAGCCTTGCATGGCCAGATATTGATAGCAGTCACCCAACTCACACAAACTCCAGAGTTTCCAGCCCCCCACACAACCCTATTCCGGAGAAACAAGCGGGAAACAAACCCTCCCCTGCTATTCGGACTCACACAGAGGAATCACCTAACCGTGCCCCCATGAATGGAAGATTGATGAACTGGGACATGCAGGAGCTTCCAGATGACCGTCACTCCGAACCTACCCAGACCTCACCGGTCAGATTACTTTGTGATCGATTGCAGGTAAGTGAGGTCGTAATACCCGTCCAACCACCGGAGAGACCAGCCGTTTGTCTGTGTAAAATAGCCTCATAAATGTGGCATAAATATAGCGACTATACCATAGCTGGCACATCTACGCACAGTGAATTTTTGTCTCTTGAATTTTGTCACTTACTTAGCAACTGTATTATTTCACGGTGAGACACAGTACAACACTTGTGCAACCAGATGTGATAGGTCGAATTAAACTCATCGTGATGAAACGCCTGCTCCTGGGTGACTAAGAGCGACGAAATCAGATCACTTAATGCCTACTACAGATATAAACGGCTGTTGTCAGCTTCAGCGTAAACTGCAGTCCTACTTGAAATTCGCGGATATTATCCAAACGCACTGCGGGTTCCCTGCAAAATAAAAAAGAACGCGTTTGATATACTCGCTCCCTACGCGTGTTGACACGCACACATTCACACAGTCGATCCTTCCGAATCGGGACTACAAAGTACATGATCTCATAGAAACTTAACATTGAAAGAACAGGGTTGTTCGCATTTGCGATTTTATTTATGTGCAAAACACGCCTGGCTTAAATTTCTCGCAAACGCTCGAATCATGGACTTTGTGCGACGGATGGGTTCACCCGGGACGCATGTGCAACAGCTGGTACCGATCCACCAGGGCGCATTTGCTAAGCAAACTTCATCTAAGTAGTGAACTAGTCTTTTGGGATAAATTGCAAATTTGATACCTCCGCAACGCTGAGAGGAATGGAGATTATGGCAGTGTGCAACACAACACATTTCTGGGAACTAATAGTGGAGATTAGGACTTAGATTATACCCGATAGTTTTTAAGTTTAATGATGACTCTCCTAGTCAATCTGGTCGAAAGATATCAGTTCAAATATATCACTAGAGTCTGAACACACCTTCCTTACGAACGACGTTTTGCTAATTGATTCTTTGGGGTTCAACGGGATAAGTATATTGTGTTTCCTTACATCTCTTGGGCGAAAGCTGTGCCACTAGCTACTAGCCTGACAAACGGACGTCTGAGATGCGAAAATGGGTCGGATCAAGTTACAACTGGGACCGAAGCAACCATTTTTGGATGTTGTCTATTCTTTGGGCATATTCAGATATGCTAACGAACACCTCTTTGGATCGATACATGAGGCAGCACCAAGAAAGCTTGAGTAGGTTAGAGTAGGTGCTTATATCTTCCACCAGAGACCGTATCAATGTACAGTCATTTCTTAGGACTGTCGGTGGTGAACAACAATGTGTTCTTACTATCATGCACCGAAGAGTTTCACTCTGAGCTGGTGTTGGACGTACTGGTTGATATTTTAATTTGGGTCACATTTAGGCACAAATTAATCATCATAGTTTACTATAAGGCAAGCATGCCTAGTGTTCCTATCTTATTAAGGGATATGAAGACTTGGTTGTCGTAAATTCCCACCCAAGCTCCTGTGCAAGCGAGAAATTCACTTGGGACTTGAGTAACTCGTAGAACTCCCGGGATAAACCGAAGTGAACTAAATCCCACACATCCGGGAAAGCGCCGGACGTTCGTTTCACCCTATTAGGATTCATCAGTAGTACACATTCCCCGGAATCGTCTTTAGTTTATACCACTAAGCTACAGGTGAGGACGACAGCGTCTGGGTGGTTTGCTCGCTAATGCGAAGATATTTGTTGGCGCAGTTTCATCCGTTGAGCTGATACCTTTTCAGCCTCATCATTCTCTCTGAAATTTGCTGACGACCATCGTAGTTGACTACACAGACGTTCACTTCAAGTCAAGTAGCCAACGGTGATCAATGGCTGATCAGTCGATTTAGTTGCAATGATTGCTGTCACATTTTCAAACTGAAGGCCAAGCGAGTATTGGGAGAAATAAGGCGATAAACGGCTGTCAAGATGCACTAAGAAGATACAGTTGTCGGATTCAAGTTTTTCTCATTTTATCCTCAACACCATCAACAGTAACTAATATGGTTGGCGGCATCCGATTTCAGATTTTCCTGTAACTGAGACATCCATAGGACAGGCAAAGGACGCAAGCGCCTACAGAGTGTCAATGGGCGGCTTGCACTGCACCACCCACAGCTCCATCCACACACCCCATATTCAGTGTAAACCCGGAAGGAATAAGACCGGGAGGCATGCGGATGGGAGCCACGTTTCATCAACGGAGCCGGCCCACACTCCTTCACAGGCAAACACAAGCACGCTGTATTTGGGGAATCGCCCGCACACAAGGCGGTGGCTGGACCGTAGTCCGCTCCACACTGAGTGCATGGAACCACTCTTCGAGCCTAGCACGACCACAAGGACCGTGCACCCCGTCCCCTCCAGCAACGACCAACTGTCTCCTGGAGCCAGTATGGACGAGGTAGTGGGTAATAGACAGGTAGGCACCTTGTCAACATGCACATCAAGCGCAGCCACACCTGGGATGTCAAACAACAGTCAATCATTCGAATTGCCGAGATCGAATAAAGTAAACGCATATGACGACATAAATACTCGCTAAATGAGTATATGGAAGAAATTGGTTAAATGTGAATAAGCGATAAGTACAAAATGTCCGAAAGTCATTTAAAAAATACCACGCGATAAAATTACGCAAGTTTACCACAATTTGCATGAGCGACGTGTGTAAGTTGGGAGAAGATTATCAAGTAGGCAGAACAAAAATAAAATAAAATGTAATGAATTTTATCCACATTAAAAAGACCTAATTTAAGTGTAAGTTGGTTTAGCCCAACTGCGGTGAAGAAGCATCATGAATGCGACATCAGCCTCAGCATGGGGCACTTCACAAACTAGATAGAAACACATTAAACCTCATGAATAATAGTACTACAAACGTGAATGGGTTTCGTTTGGCAGCCATTTTCGCAGGCATGAGAATAAGTACCTAATACGAACTGTTGATGTTTTCTTTATCATTTAGACGTGAACATAAATGACAGTCTTAAATCTTGCACATTCATATTTGAACGAAATCGATATAGGAATAGTGAAGCAACTGCCATCAGTACGGTTACTAGGTAGAATGATAAATAAAATAGTGTGTACTTAGGTGTTGCCTCCTATATGCACAGTCTGGTTTGCACAGCTGATGGGGGAAATCGCACAGCGTACGAATGCGATGGGGTGTTCACTTCTGTGTCTCCGTGTCGCCGACCAGTCCGATCATCTGCCGCCCTAAGTACGATTTTTGCGCAACACTAAGCATTGACGGATGGCAATAGCACCTATTCTCCGTTTACGGCCTCGTTGGCGCAACAACTACCGCAATGCTACATCAACCATGTCCCGCTGCTCACTGTCAAACGTGCAGCTATCCAAACAGTGTTCGCACTGTTTTGCAAATGTTCAAAACGTAGCATGGTTGTCATCCAAGTATTAAATCGTTTGTACATACCGCTGTGTACCCTGCTATGGCCATAAGCTATTTGGTACCGATCTGCATCGTACCTCTCGGTTGCGGACATTCGGTACTCCTAAACTAAACAGTTGCCGCTATTCGCCGATTCCTCTCTGATGTAACATACTAAGTCGCTGACGTACCATTACCGTTGGCAGTAACCTTCTTAGTCTACTCAGAAGATTGGCCAGGTACAATTCCACTTCTAGTAGGCACCTCTGCGCTTTCGCATTCAATCCGCATAATACCTGCGTTTTCATAAGCGCAGGTAAATTCAGTATGGCTGATGAACGACGGACAATATAGATTGGTCAATTTGCAGCACACGTTGTGTGAATGGATTGCGACGCGCAATCTCAAAGTGGGCCACGATTCCCACTGAAGTGAACTTTGGCCATCCGATCACTAGGACCGTAACTGATGAAGCAGAAGAATTAAGTTGCGTGTTGCCCGCCTGAGACCACAGCACTGCATGACGCGTTTCGAGGTTATTTCCTCTCATCAGATAGAAATAGCAAGCATCAAACCCGGGACCATTGGGCAACATCCAATTTGCTTCCTCTGTTTCATCAGCAATGAAGATTTCAGTACAACTCCCATTAGGTTACTAATAATATCCCACTAGTTGATGTCATCCAACTGCCTGCCTCTTATTGATGTCGACTTTGATTCTGGGATATCATAGCACAGTATGCTCAGTACAGATAGTTGTTGCTTTGGACCTTTCGACATGTCGCGGTTAGTGATTGAAGTACTCGGAGATGTACCGCAGGAAACCGGTGATACTTGTACTCGGAAAACTCAGCTACGCTTTTCAGTTTCCGTTCCATTTGGGTGTGATGATAGATTTAAATGACGGCTCTTCTTGGAGGCAACTGTAACCGAACTTTCGCTAGTACCGGCTTGATGTTTTCTGCGCACTCCGTCGAGAGTTTGGAATTAGCCTTACGTGTAGTTATTCCGATCGAACTGGGGACCGCATTAGTCAAATGTGAGCCACGTGTGGTATTGGAACAGCAGTTGATGTTCTGTATTCTAGGTGTCGTGTTGCTTACGGTGTTACTAGCAGTTCTTCGTGGAAGGGGAGCAGCACTTCCGGGGGAGGATTGGGTTGCACAGTCCGCTATGCTTACCCCAACCGTAGCGATTTTGGTGGTCACCATTTTCTCAAACTTGGCTAGTAGCTGGTCATACCTCTGAGATAATAGGAGCACGCATTTTATCAATGGGATAAATGAGCATTACACGCAGATCCATAGAGAATCTGGTTTGTTTAATAGCTTGGCCTGCCTAGGCTTAAATCGGAGACACCTCGCATGGAAAAACTTGCAACAGTTATGGCACAAAATGCCCCCCTTAAGACGTTTGGTACATGGTCCACATTGGTCATTAGTCTGCGGCAGACTGGGCATCGCGCTTGTTGATCAAATGTTACGAAGTATTTGAATGACACACACTCTAGGGTAAAAGTTGTTCTGTTACTGACGTTGTAGGTAAGGTCACAATGTTCACGTTGCAGTTGTGTGCTTACAGACTGTCCTCTCTGGCGTGCCAGTCGATTGTGTCAGCTTGAACGTGGG